AAGACCCAGCACAGCCAAAATAAACTTTAAAAATTTAATAATTTTTTTTTAATTTTTAAAAAAGATTCTGTGAGGCAGATGGAAGAGATGCTCATTTCTACGTTAATGAGCGAGAGAAATCGAGGGTCAGCAACTCCACAAGGTCACAGAGCTACGAACAGTCTCTTGACTGAGATTGTGTTCCCATACTCCGCTGTGTTCCACGTCCTTCCAGTTTCTTCCAGGCCCTAGATGGCACCCATGGGTTAATGAAGGATGACATTTTGGGAAGGTACTGGGTGGACCATGAACAGAAAAACTTCAAGAATCTGAACAGATATCAGGCCCACCTCCTAGAGATTCTAGTCTCTATATGAGCCCATTTTATCCCCCATCTCTCTTCCACTTGATGCAAATCAGCTCTTCACTCTAGGTGAAACTGTTCAGTATGATTTCTCAGAGTTCAAGTTTCTGCAGTTATTTTTAGCTGGCGTTTTTAGTGCATACCTGGGACAGGTGAGGCATGAAAAGGAATGTGGGTGTGGGTAGCCCTTGAGTCTCTAGTGCCAGGGTCTGGATCTCTTGTCATTCCAGCTAAAGAGGGGTGACTCACACCCTGATTTATTATCAGCCCTGAGGCTAGATTTCACCTTAAGAACTATGTGGATTAAAACGTGTCTACTCTCTGATTCTGCATTCAAGTCTTTGGAGCATACTTGCTTGATGTTATTTTGTTACCTGCTTTTCATAACATGGACGCCTTCGTTTTCTGTAACCAACACCACAGTCTGTGGTTCTTTCTGGTCTAATTCCTCAGGGCTTTGAAGGACCTGGGGTAGATAGTCTCGGATTTGGATCTTGGGCTAGATCTGCAGGTAGGAACTTACCTGGAAAATCCTCTGGCTATAAACCAACTCTATGTTCCTATAGAGTCAGACAAGTTCTAGGATACCCTTTTTCTTTTTTTTGGCTGCACTGGGTCTTCATTGCAGCATGTGGGCCCGGTTACCCCATGGCAGGTAGTAAGGTGGTATCTTATTTCCTTGATCAGAGCTCGAACCTGTGTCCCCTGCATTGGAAGGTGAATTTTCAATCACTGGACCACCAGGGAAGTCCTTCATCATATTTTTAAAGGACTGAGAAAATAATCATCATCTAGTTGAGTCTAGATCCCTCCCAACAACTTCTAGAATCCTCTGACTGCCCTTAAATTCCAGAGAGCCTGGAATTCTGGGCCTGCTTTAAGCCTAAAACCACCTACTCAGCTGAAAACCCAGCACTGGGATCCTATGTTGTTGTTCAGCTTCTAAGTCGTGTCTGACTCTTTGTGACCCCATGGACTGCTGCACACCAGGCTTCCCTGTACTTCACTACCTCCTGGAGTTTGCTCAAACTCATGTCCATTGAATCAGTGATGCCATCCAGCGATCTCATCCTCTGTCGTCCCCTTCTCCTCCTGCCCTTAATCTTTCCCAGCATGGGGATCTTTTCCAATGAGTCAGCTCTTCACATCAGGTGGCCAAAGTATTGGAGCTCCCGTCTCAGCATCAGTGCTTCCAATCAATATTCAGGGTTGATCTCCTTGCTGTCCAAGGGACTTTCAAGAGTCTTCTCGAGCACCACAATTTGAAAGCATCAATTTTTCAGCGTTCAGCCTTCTTTATGGTCCAACTCTCACATCCATACATGACTGCTGGGAAAAGCATAGCTTTGTTTGGGATCCTAAGACCCCTCCCTTCATAAGGTAAAGATACTTTCCTCATCTCACTTTGGCTCAGCACAGAGGAAGGAAGTAAAACCAGGCTGGTTAGTATCATGAAATCATGATACAATGAATAAGTATAAAGTGGCTCTATGATTCAGATGAGAAATAAGGGAGAATTTTCTCTGGGGCAGCATCACTGACTACTGCAAGATAATCCCTTAAATCATATAAGTTAGGTGTGGGAATTGATTGCAACTGGGACACGGGGCAAGATTGTTGATTATTTTAAAGCCCTCAGTGTCCTAAATCAGGAAAGCAAAACTAAGAAATTATACCAAGATGGGACTAGAAGAAAGGCTAGACACCTTCCCCACTTCTAAAACTAGACAGTTTTGGACCTTGACTGCAAAGACAATTTACATTTAAGAGGATGCCGTTGTAGATTTCTGTACTTCCAGCCAACTTACCATTTCTGAAAACTTCTGTGCACGCATACTCAGTAGTGTCTGACTCGGCAACTCCATGGCCTGTAGCCCACCAGGCTCCTCTGTCCATGAGTTTTCCCAGGCAAGAATACTGGAATGGGTAGCCATTCCCTCCTCCAGGGATCTTCCTGACCCTGGGATTGAGCCCACGTCTCCTGCATTGTCAGGTGGATTTTTACTACTGAGCCACTGGGGAAGCTACTTCTTGTCTTTTCTCCACTTTCTTTGTAATTAATTCTATCTACCAGTTGTATTCCACAATACAATCTTAAACCCCCCCAAAATGTAGCAGTCCAGAAAGACAGTCTGTACTGGGTTGAAGTGTCTCCCCCAAATCCATGTCTACATGGAATGCCAGAATGTGACCTTATTTGAAACCAGGGTCTTTGTAAATATACTGAGTCAAGACGAGGTCATACTGGAGTAGGGTGTGACCTAAATCCCCAATGCTGGCAAAGATTGAGGGCAAGAGAAGTGGGTGACAGAGGATGAAATGGTTGGATGGCATCAACGACTCAATGGACACTTTGAGCAAGCTCCAGGAGATAGTGAGGGACAGGGAAGCCTAGTGTGCTGCAGTTCATGGGGTCACAAAGAGTCAGATACAACTCAGCAACTAAAAACTAAATTCAACTACTGCATCTTCAGAAGAAGGCCATATAGAAGCAAAGACACACAAAAGGGAACGTTATGTGAAGACGTGGGCAGAGACTGGAGCTATGTTTTCACGAGCCAAGGACCACCAACCACCACCAGAAGCTAGAAGAGGCAAGGACAGACCCTTCTCAAGAGGTTTCAAATGCAACATGGCCCTGGTGAGATCTTGATCCTGGACTTGTAGATTATAGAATTCTGATCCAACAAACTGTTGTTTTTTTAACCCCCCCTCTGTGATACTTTGTTACACGTACATTGTACTCTGTGACCCCATGGACTATAGCCCAGCAGGCTCCTCTGTCCATGGAATTCTCCAGGCAAGAACACTGGAGTAAGTTGCCATTTCCTTCTCCAGGAAATCTTCCCAACCCAGGGATCAAACCTGGGTCTCCTGCATTGCAGGTAGAGTTTTTATTGTCTGAGCCACCAGGGAAACTCACTGTTACAGGAGCCCCAAGACTTCACAAGCTTGCCTTGGAGGACAGGGAGCATGAAGAAAAGCTTGATTAGTGATACAAACCCACAGCTTCATCCTCATTTACACCTGGATCACGTTCATTTCTGTGCCTGCTGCCTTCACAAGGATATCTCTACTTCTTGTCTGAGACTCTAGTTTATGGTCTAGACCCACCAATATGCCTGAAGACACAGCATCCACCTTTCTTCCCTTAGTGGCCCATCTTCCCAACCTAGCAAAGCATACTCTATAAAGTACTTCAAAAAAAGCAGCTAAGCTTTAGAAGGTTTCTACCCTTTTTAGTCTCTGCAGAAATATGCATGTACCCGAGGGGTCCACAGACCCTAGGTTTGGGATCCTATTTAAAAAGTTCAGATTTCTTCAGAATAATTCGTTTCTTCTTACCCAACACTCACAAAGTGAAGTCGCTCAGTCGCGTCTGACTCTTTATGACCCCATGGACTATAGCATGTCAGGTTCCTCCATCCATGGGATTTTCCAGGCAAGAATACTGGAGTGGGTTGCCATTTCCTTCTCCAGGGGATCTTACTGACCCAGGGATCAAACCTGGGTCTCCAGCACTGCAGGCAGACTCTTTACCATCTGAGCTACCAGGGAAACCCACCACCCACAACCTGACTCAAATTCAGCCTGCTTCTAAAGTCTTCCACTGAATTGAAATAGCAATCATCCATTGGCTCTTATCTACTGGCTCAGAGGGAGACAGAGCTACCATTATCTAAGCTGCTCTGGAGAGCCCCAACAGGAAATACACTAATGGAGAATTAGCCCCCAGTGGGGGGCAACCCACCCCCCCGTATTTACAAAGATCTTCCTGCAGTCAACAGTCCACACTTGATTCCCACAGAGAATTTTACTGACATCTACTTTTCACTTCTTACTAAACACTTCAAGAAACACAACATGCACTTTCCATTAAGTTGTACATGGAAGGCTTCCCTGGTGGCACAGTGGCTTAGGAATCTGCCTGCCGATGCAGGGGGCACAGGTTTGATCCCTGGTCTGGAAGATTCCACGTGCCTTGGAGCAACTAAGCCCATGTGCCACAACTACTGAGCCCGTGAGGTGAAACTGCGGAAGCTGGGCACCTGGAGCCAGTGCTCCGCGGCAGGCGAAGCCCCAGCAGTGAGAAAGCGGTGCCCTGCAATGAGGAGCAGTCCGTGCTAGCAGTCCCGCAACTAGAGAAAGGCCACACACAGCAACGTCGTCTTCTAAGAAGTCTTCAACACAAAAAGGTCTTCAAGGAGCCTGAGTTTTTTTTATAGTAATATTTGAATTTACTATTTCCCACTCAGAGTCATGAAACACAGGCTGAGACTGTGTAAGTACCACTGTTTTTTAGGTATAAACATCCCTTTCCTTTACAATGACAGGTTGAGAGGTGCATTAGCCCAGTCCTGGACTTGCAGCTGAAAAAAAAGCACAGGTCGGTGTGAAGGGTGTGAGGGGACAGGAGAGCATGTGCTCCTCATGTCAGGAACGAGTAACCACAGTGGAAGGCCAGTCCGAGTCTCGACATCAGCACCGTGACATCCCACAGCAGCAACGCTCGAACGCACGAAGGGGGCCCAGCACCATACGAGCCGGGCCGTCTGGACACAATGCCGGCGGACTCTGGCCGGAGGAAGAGGTCCCATTCGCTCCTTCAATCCTCTCCACAGAACCGAAGGCAGAAATCAAGTCCTTACAAAAGGGATTAACGGCCTTTCCGTTTCTTCATTTTCCCTCCAGCCACCTTGTTCCTGACGCCGATGGCGCCCTCTGTGTCGTCGTTGTCCCCAGCGTCCTCCCGCGAGCGCTTCTTCTTCTCCCCATGCTCCCTGAGCTCCTGCAACAGACAGAAAGGAAGGGGCTGATCGTGAACCGCTGTCACTGAGGGGAGCACGTCCCAGTCTCCGCTCCATCAAGTCAAACACTACTTCCCTGGCGGCCCAGTGGCTAAGACTCCCTGCTTCCCACGCAGGGGGCTCGGCTGGATCCCTGGTCAGGGAACTATTAACAGACCCCACATGCTGCAACTAAGAAACCTGGCGTAGCTGGCAAGCTAGATAAATAAATAAAATCTTGATAAATTAGAGAATTCATTTATTAAAAACAAACAAACAAACAAACCCTAGGTAACTCTCAACACCTCACATTAGCAAAGAAATAAAACCAAATCCCAATATGCAAAACCATTAATCTAGTCATCAAAGACAGAAAAATGAAAACAGGAAGCTACTATTTTCATACGGCAGACTAGCAAAGATTTAAGAGTAGTAATACTTAGAACTGGTCAGGCAGGGGGCAGGCACAGACACTGTCCCACATACAATGCCACATACATCGTGTAAGCTGCTATAGACTTCCTGGGGAGCAACTGGGCATTCTGTATGAATCTGAACTGTGCATTCTCCGCTCAACAATTGATTCTACTTCTAGGAATTTATTCTAAGGAAACAAGTGTGCAAAGCTATACATAGTAGGATGTTCAACACAGTCATTAACTAAAATACATAAAACTGGGAAAAGCATGAACACATATCAATGGAAAGCATGTTATATATTCATAACAGATCATGAAGAAGGGATGCCATGAGAATTTTAAGATGCTAGCATCTAGGTAACAGTCTCTAAAACCTACAAGTGGTGCCATTTTTAAAAAACTGAATTCATCCTCTTCAGACTACTAATTGCCTAGAACACATAATCTGACTTCCCTTGCCAATTCAAAAGGCAGTTAAGGAACTTTCAGTGACTCTAAGAAATCAGTGCTGCCACCATGTTTAGGCAAGTTTGGTAACTGAATCAAATGAGTGCTAATATGCAGCCTAGATGAAGTTTTTTGAATAGAGTTTAAAATGTGAAAGAAAAAACGTGATCACATGAATCTCAATTAGTTGAAACAGAAAAAACAAAACATATTCAGATAAAGTCATATACAAATTGGATAAAGTCTCATTATGGTGAAAGAAAGAAAAACAGCCAAATGTAATCAATGGTTTTCTGTGGGGGGGGTGGCTTATGTGTTTCACTATTTTAATCCTTTCTGTATTTTCTAAAAAATGTTTTCCAATGCATATCAAATTTTTTTATAAACAAAAAACACCAAAACTTCCATGTGGGCCAAAAAACAACCCCATAGCCCAGCTACTCAGAAAGCGCCCCATGAACTAAGTCTCTTCGCCCCTCAGAGCAGCGCTCCTGGGATAAGAGGCAAGTGTTCTCCTCTAGACCCTCCTGTCTCCACTGCTCCACCTACAGATGCTCTCAGGAACTACACTGTCCACCTCCGCTTATCTGGTGCTCAGAAACCCTGTCTCCAAGGTAACTACTCTTCCTCATCTACAGGTGAGGGACTGACTGAGCGGTCAGATACCTTGTCGTGACTCACAGCTCACAGCTGCATCTTCTCATCTCAAGTTCAAAGGTTTTCCTGTCTCAAGTGAAAAGCGAACAGTAGCTGGGAATGAATGTGGTCACTGTGATCAGACAGTCCAAACCCTGATTTGACCATTTAGTTACAGGGTTGAAAGCAAACTGCCTGCATCTCTATGCTTTAGTATACTCATCTTACACTTAGAATAAAATAATAACATTTATTGCAGATTAACATGATAAAGTGTCTTGCACACAGGTAAGATAAGTTGCATAGAAGCTGGTGAGAAAAGGCATTGCACAGGTTTCCCTGGTGGCTCCATGGTAAAGAATCTGCCTGCCAGTGCAGGAGACGTGGTTTCAATCCTGGTCCGGGAAGATCCCACATGATCAGAGCAACTAAGCCCCTGCACCACAACTACTAAGCCTGTGCTCTAGAGTCGGTGCATCACAACTGCTAAGCCTCGTGCACCGTACAGCCGATGCTCAGCACCAAGAGAAGCCGCCACAGTGAGAAGCCCTGGCGTCGCAACTAGAGAGCAGCCTCGGCTCGCTGCAACTAGAGAAAGCCCGTGCAATGATGAAAACCCAGCAGAGCCCAAAATAAACAGAGCTGCATACCATTCGGGCAAATCTCTGGGCCTCAGTTACACGCTCTGTCAGCATCATGACTTCGTCGTCCTGGGTTGGAAAGACAGGCAGTTTCTTCCCAATCAAGTGCTCTATACGTTGGAAGAGCTCCACATCATACCTGAGGAAGGAAAGCTGATACAGCTCTGGCTGGCTGACAACGTACACATTCGTCTGTCCATCCCAAAACGACGACACAGCAGGAGCCAAAGTTTTCAGTAATATCAAACCTATTACTCCTTTTCAGAATGTTGATTAAATGCAATCTGCTGTGTACAGCCCAGCAGAAAACCACCCACCACATCCCTGACTCCCAGAAAAGCCTAGGACACGTGGCTGTTTGCTCCTTTAAAAACAAAATCAGAAGAACAGCTTTTGTAATATGGTGGGCTGAGGGAATGGTCACTGTTCTCTGGCTCCAGACGTTAAAAGAAATAACAGGGTTTTGGTGTATGTGCTTTTATACACCAAGTACTCTGCTACACACATGCAGTAGAGTTTATGCTCTTTACATATACGTCTTCAGTCTTCATTAAAACCCTGCAAGGTTGGTATTACTATTGCCATTTTACAAATGATGAAGGTGGGATGAGGAAGGCTTAGTGCCTGTTACAGTAAAAGGTGAAGTCAGGTTCCAAGTGAGTTGGCCCCAGGGTTCTGCTCCTTTCTCTACATTGCTCTGCCCTGAAGTCGGGTCACTTACTGTGTGACAAAGGTAATAGCCTTTCCAGAGCGCCCAGCTCGAGCCGTCCGACCCACTCGATGGATGTAATCCTGAAACACAACGGGCAAGTAACTCTGAGTCAGCTGGAATATGAATTAAAACTGTGTATGTAAAGTCTTCCTGCCAGGCTTTGAAAGAAAACAGATCTGTCCTAGAATGTGGAGAAACACACTGGGAGTCCATTGAGATACATCTGCTTCACTGTTTTAATTCTCCTCACAGCACAAAACTGACACCCCCCACCCCCCGCCTTTTTCCTTTCTTTTATAGAAAGAGGGATCCACAAAGCACATCTCCACGGACAGAGTCACAGAGAGAGGAAAACGGCCTGGGTCACAGCTCTGCTTCTCCCCATCCCAACCAACAACACAACTGTCTGCAAGTCCCAGAACCTCTCTGAACCATGGTTTCTGTCTATAAGACAGGGGCACAAACACATTGCCAAACTCAAAGTTACTGTGAAAATCCTACGCGAGAGCAACTTATCTACAGCAGTTTAATACAAAGTCGAGACACACTAGTTGTTCTCATCTGGGGGCAGTTTTGTCCTCTCCAGGGAGCATCGATGAACTGTCTAGAAACATACCTTGTGGTCACAAAGTCACCTGTGGGTAGGGGCCAGGAATGCTAAGCATCCTACAGTGCAGAGGACAGCCACACAACAGAGAACTCCCGGCCTGAGATGTTAATGGTGCCCAGGCTGAGAAACCCTGGGATCGCTGAGGACCACAAGCTGCCATTTCTTATCAGTTAGCCCAGCAGAGGTCAGCATGTGGTACAACTGCTCCTCTGATGGTGAGCATCTTGCCCCACTCCTGGGTTCCTTCCTTCACGTTCATTAACATCACATCCACATGTGCATGATGAGGAGAATGAACAGATCAAGAGTTTCCTCATTTCTGATACTTAACTAATCAAGGACACACACACACACACCCCCCAATATTGTAACTAAAGGAAGACAAAAAACATTCATTAAGAAATACACTTTGGGGGCTTCTCTGATGGCTCAGATGATAAAGAAATACACTTTGGATACAATGGAATATTACTCAGCCATATAAATGAATGACACCTTCCTGTTTGTGACAAAATTGGCTAGACCTTGAAGGTATTTGACTCAGTAAAATAAGTTAGACAGGGACAAATACAGAGATCTCACTTATATGTGAAATCTAACAATAACAAAAAACTGAGCTCACAGATTCAAAAAACAGGTTTGGTGGTTGCCAGATGTAGGGATGGGTGTATGTGAAATGGGTAAAGGAGGTCAAAAGGTACAAATGTCAGTTATAAAATAATAGTCATGGGGATGTAATGTACAACATGCGGATAAGAATTAGAAACATGGTACTGCACATTTGAAAGTTGCTAAGGGAAAATATCTTAGAAGTTCTCATCAGAAAAAAAAAAGTGCAACTATGAATGGTGACAGATGTTAACTAGACTTACTGTGACCATTTTGCAATATATAGAAATACTGAATCATCACATTTTATACCTGAAACTAATATAATGCTACATGACAATTACATCTCAATTCAAAAAAAAGAAAAGAAAGGGGGGAGAAAGAGAATTAGAGAGGAAGAAAGGAAAGGAGAAGGGAAGGAGAAAGAAAAAGAAAAGAAAGATATTTGGGGCGAGAAAGTCAGGTCAGCAACAACACTCACCTTGGAATGCGTAGGAATGTCAAAGTTAACAACTACATCCACATGGGGTATGTCCAAACCACGGCTTGCAACATCAGTTGCTAGAAGAATGGAACGAGCCTTCGCCTTAAATTTATTAAGGGATCCCAGGCGCTTGCTCTGAAACAATGAAAAGAAATGGAAAGAATTTGCATCTTGAAAATCTAAGGAATCTTGGAAATCCAAGACACACAAACTAGACACATTAAATAGATACAAGAACCAAGAAAATAATGTTTAAAATGATGTTTCCCCTTCAGTCTAACTGGGCTTCACAGGTCAAAAGGAAACATGGATGCAATTTTAAAAAAAAAAGGTCTCAGACTAAAACTAGAAAATGCTAACATAAAACACTGTTAAACATGACAGAAAGGTAACTAGGAAATAATTCACCACAAGGGCTGAACAAATTGGGCTTCCCAGATGGTGCTAGTGGTATGGAAACTGCCTGCCAATGCAGGAGATGTAAGAGACCTCCTCCAGGACCCCCTGGAGGAGAGCATGGCAACCCACTCCAGTATTCTTGCCTGGAGAATCCCATAAACAGAGGAGCCTGGCAGGCTACAGTCCATGGGGTAACACACAGTCTGACACAACTGAACCGATTTAGCATGCATACATGCTGAACAAATCAACTCTACAGCTTCCATACCAGACAACTACCTGTGGAATATTCTAACTGGAGCCTCCTGCTATCCTGAAAGGAGGAAGCAGCATTGACAGCAACACTTTAAAGCCTGTAATACCAGGACAACTACGGAAAGATGCATTAGTGTCACCTGCTGCTACTGCAGAAACCTCCTGCTGTGAGGTTTATCTTTCTCATGCCACCACTAATGAAGGATAGTTACCTGACTCATCTGTCCGTGGAGGGGAATGGCGGTGAATCCAAGATTTCGGAGTAGCAGAGCTGTCCTCTGAGTGTTGTTACAGGTGCTGCAGAATATCATAAAGGAGTTCCCAGCCAATTCATTCAGAATATAAACCAGGTAGGTATCCTAAGTCACAAAGCCAAAACAATATATGTAACTGAACCTGGAAGCAAGTCAGAGTCCTGGGCATATAAACTACGTAAAAGACTAAGTCTCTAGCTGCTTCCCAATTTCCCAGACCCTCAGCTGGCAGCCCTGCACCCCTTAATCAGCTTTATCATTATCATCTCTGAGAACCATGAGTAACACACATAGCCTGACAGCAGGCACAAGGAGATCTGGGCTCAGCAAGCATGCAAAGCCCTGACATCAGAGGACAAGACTAGGGTCCGCTGCCCACAAAAAAGCCACATAATAAGCAGACCAAAGAAAAACTACCTCAAGGATGGGGTTAGGAAGGGATTATATCATGACTTCATTACTCTGGTTTAATACATTGTGAATTCCCGGAATGCTCGGCATTTTCAGTGATAAATGTAAACACTGCATGAACTCTAAAACACACAGCACTTAGCTAATCAAGAGCTGACACTTTCAGACACTGTGGTGAAGGAGGAGAGGGAGAGGCAGGAATGATCAGAGTAAACACTCTACCTTGAACTTGGAAGGAATAAAAAGATAATACTGCTGCAACTTCTCAACTGTCTGATACTTGGAGGAGACGGCACATTTCACAGGGTTCTTCAGCGCCGCTCGCTGAAGTTTTTGCACCTGGAGAAAGGACACCTAGATTAGTACGTTGATTCCTAAGTGCTCTGTTTTTATTCTTGTTACTGGGACTGTTTCTACTTATCAATTCTTATAAAGAAGAAAAGAGAACTCCTAGAAAAATTCACCTTCTTGGTCATCGTAGCAGAGAAGAGAAACGTTTTCCGATCTCGGGGAATCACTTTGAGGATCTTGTCAACCTGAGGCAGAAAGAGCAAAGGATGCCAAAGTGACATTTACACCGGACACCTGCAAATGTATTTTGTGAAGGAGATAAGGGATCACAAACTAAATACATCACAGTGGGGATCTGAGAACTCAAACCTTCGATTCAATTCGGCTAAAACTTACTGAATATAGACTATCAGGAAGCATACCCAATGCTATCAAAAAATAATGCTAATCAGAGAAAAGAACACTTTAAATCAGTACAGTACAGCTAACCTAAGAGAAAAGGAAAGAATAAGCATAAATCAACTAAATAAGTTATGAAGAACTTCCTGTCAAAGAAAAGATAAAAGAGGTCGAAATCAAATGAAATGGAAAAGAAAATCTGGTTTTGATATTTCTTATCTCTAAAATCAAAGTCAGACTATATATATTATATATATGCTTTTTGCCCAACTATTTGTTTTTTAATTGAAGTATAGTTGATTTACACCATTTCAAGTGTAGAGCAAAGTGATTCACACATATATACTCTTTTTCAGATTCTTTTCCAGTATGTGTATGCATGCGTGTATGTGAGTTGTGTGTCTGACTCTTTGCGACCCCATAGACTGTAGTCTGCCAGGCTCCTCTGTCCATGGAATTCTCCAGGCAAAAATACTGGAGTAGGTTGCCATTCCCTTCTGCAGGGGATCTTCCCAACCCAGGGATCAAACTCACGTTTCCTGCATTGCAGGCAGATTCTTTATCGACTGAACCACCAGGGAAGCCCCCTTTTCCAGCACAGGTTATTACAAAATACTGAATACAGTTCCATGTGCTATACAGTAGGTCCTGTTATAATAGTCTGTATATGTTAATCCTAAATTCCTAAAGAGGAATTAATCCTAAAGAGGATGCTGAAACTATTTATAATAGCCAAGAAATGAAAGCAAGCTAAATGTCCATCAACAGATGAGGGATAAAGTGGTGGTACATTATACAATGTAATAGTACTCAGCCATTAAAAATGAAACAATGCCATCTGCAACAACATGGATAGACCTAGAGATTATACTAAGTGAAGTCAGACAAATACCCTATCATATCACTTACATGTGGAATCTAAAAAACAGTACAAATTAATTTATTTATGAAACAGATTCACAGACATAGAAAACAAACTTAAGGTTACCAAGAGGAAGCGGGGGAGATAAATTAATAGTTTGGGATTGGCAGATGCAAACTACTTTGTATAAAGTAAATAGACAACAAGGTCCTATTATATAGGACAGGGAACTATTTTCAATATCTTGTAAGAACCTATAATGGAATAGAATAGGGAAAAGAACATCCACACACACACACACACACACACACACACATACACACATAGATATATGTCTAACTGAATCACTTTGCTATATACCAGAAACACTGCAAATCAATAATGCTTCAATTTCAAAATTAATTAAATGTAAAAGCAACAAGGATATACAAGGATATATTGTACCAGCACAGGGACACAGAGTCATTATTCTGTAATAATCTTAAATGGAGTATATGGAGCATAATCTATAGAAATACTGAAGCACTATGTTGCACTCCTAAAAGCAATATAATATTCTAAATCAACCATCTTTCAATAAAAAAGAAAAGCAGCAGATATGTTAAATTAACTGACAATGGTAAGTGCTCCAAAAAGCAAGTGAGCTATGAATCAGACTTTGAAATGGGGCACCTGAGAAGTTCTAAGAGGAGGAAAGATGTTGAGAGCTCACCTCTGTCTCAAAATCCATATTCAAGATTCGGTCTGCTTCATCCATGACCAAGTACTTGAGGGCTCTTAAGTTGAAACCTTTCGTATTTTCCAAGTGGTCAATCAGTCGGCCAGGAGTTGCTAACAAGAAAGGTTGAGGACATGTTTAAGAAAAAGGACAGAAAGGGAGTGACTGCCCCCTCCTAACCAGAATTCCAGAAATTTAAAAAAAAAAAACAACATTAAACAGGGTTACAGACAATCATTCTTTGAACACTTTCTGCACAAATAAATTACACATAGCATCAGATTTTTCTGAAATTCATCCTCACCACTGCCTTTTACCAATATCAGTTACTCACCTATCACTATATGTGGTTTTTTGGCCAGGGCCAGAGATTGGGACATTGAATCAATTCCACCTACAATCACAGCTACAGAAATAAAAAAGAATATTAGAAAGAGATCCTTAATTTTGTTTCCATAATGCACTGAACATCTTTTAAAGTCAATGCCAGATTTCTACTTTCATTTCTCTTCCCTTACAATGACAACTTTCCCTGAAGCTAAAATACCCAATCAGCTCTTTAGGTCGATGAACTTCTATTAACAACACTTCCTTTCGTTCTTTCACATTCCTTTGCAACCTGTGAAGAAACTGTGAAGATTCCTTTCCTCCCAACACTTACCACACTGCACCCCAATAGAAGACCCCAGGGCTTCAAACTGCTCTGAGATCTGAAAGGCCAGCTCCCGAGTGGGGGTGAGAACTAAGGCAAACAGACGCTGGGGTGTCTCCAACAATGCGTTGAGAATGGGCAAAGCAAAGGCGCCGGTTTTCCCAGAGCCGGTTTCTGCCAGCCCGATGATATCACGACCTAGAAGACACAGAATATACATAATAGCAAAAAAATGCTCCCTGCACCATTTCCATATTGGTGGAAATATGACCAAATGCTGGGCAGAACACAGACCATGAATAAATATTTGATGAATTGTGGGGAGGAAGAAGTTGATCAGACAGAAGACATGGTCTCTGTCCTGAATAAGCTCAAAATCCAGAAGTAAAATATACAATACATACTAATATGATAGGTCCCTGTAGGGCAGGGTGAAAAAAGGAAGAAGTAACTTACTGCTTGGAGGAGTCAGGAAAGGCTAACAGAGGTGACAAGCAAATTAAATCTGGAGGTCAGCAAAGAAAGGACAGTCTCGTGTGAGGAAAGAGGCTTTAAAGAACACAGAATGAGTCAGGAGAGGGAGAAGTACAACATGGCCAGAACACAGAAGTCAAGGGGGAAAAAGGAGAAGAATGAGGAAACCCACAGCCATGCTAAGGAGTTCTGATGTCTTCCTTTAAGACAGAGGAACTGAAGGATTTTAGACAGGGAGTATTATGACCTTTAATTATCAACACCCTTTAAGATTTCCCTGGTGACTCAGATGGTAAAGTAGCTGCCTGCAATGAGGGAAACCTGGGTTCTATCCCTGGGTTGGGAAGATCCCCCGGAGAAGGAAATGGCAACCCACTCCAGTACTCTCGCCTCGAAAAATCCCTTGGACAGAGGAGCCTGGTGGGCTACAGTCGGGGGTCACAAAGAGTTGGACACGACTGAGCAACTAACACATAACATGACAGGACTCTTTACGAAGATAAACCCAGGCCTGATGGCATAAGGAGAAGCCAAGGAACTTAACAGTAACTGCTGTTTATACTGCTCCTCCTTAGGGAAGAATGCCAGAAATAATGCCAGAAGTAATTCCTTAAGAATGGTCTGATTGCCAATCAAGCCATAAATGAGAAGATTTGGCAATTAATTCCCAAGCCAAAACCACTGTCCCTAGGTTAACCCACTCCAGTATCCTTGCCTGGAAAATCTCATGGACAGAGGAGCCTGGTGGGCTGCAGTCCATGGGGTCACAAAGAGTCAGGCATGACTGAGCGACTAACACTTGAAGTTCACTGTAGACCCCAAGGCAGGAATCTTTGGCCAGGGCCAGAGACTGGGACACTGAATCAATGTCCCAGCACCCAGGGGAAAGGTTTCCTTCAAACCTGATTCCGCCACACCTGATTGCTGAGGATTCCTCACCTAGAAATTATCCCTGACACAACTTGAACGTGACTCTCTTGCTTACACTCTAAAGTGACCTCAAGGGTCAAAATGGGGAAAGCACAGGAAAATGAGATCTCAGAGAGGATACGAGGGGAGCTATGATGGTAGCCTGAACGGAGGCCAGGTGAACTGAGAGACAGAAAGTAACAAATCAAAAAGGAACAGTCACTGTAAATCGACTATATTTCAATAAAATAAAAATAAAAGAAAGTAACGAAAGAAAATCTGATTGGCACAGAGGTTTCTACCTCGGGAAACTCAAAGGCCATAAACTGAGATACAGGCTACAGAGAAATTAGTTCTGGTGAAAAAAATAAAGACTCTGGTTTGGATACAGGGAACTTGAGATTCCTGCAGTAAGCTTGGAAAGAAGTATCTAAAAACCAGTTGGACAAACTTGTTTTGAGTTCATCCAAAAAAATATGAGCTAGAAATACAGATGTGGGAGGCAAGAGCATCGGAGCAGTGGTGCTACCCCAGGGGCAGACACATCAGAGTAAACCATAAAGTTTTATATCTATATATGCCTAGGTCCCACACCTGGAAATTCCAATTCAGGAGGTCTGGGCTGGAGCCCAGAATTCACTAGAGTTTTAAAAGATCCACAGGTGATTCTAATGAGCACTGGCTGAAACTCACTGATGCAGACAGCATTAAAGCTTCAGGACTGGATGAGAAATCTTAGTAGAGGTTTACAGTGACGGTAAAAAAGGATGAAGATAGAATTAACACTGCAAGGCAAAGGAAAAGAACCAGAAGAAACTGAGAAAGAAACGCTGGAAAGACAAAGACAACAAACACCATTGCAGAAGGTTAGCTCATGAACACCACAGAATTACTTTTTAAAAAGCCAAAAAGCCACAAACTTTTTATCTTTACTGACCATACTTTATTTCACTTGAAGTAGGCAAAGCAATAGCTCTCAAATGTGGTAAGTATTTAACTGAGTATGTGCAATTTTACACTGAGCCTGAAACAGGCCACATACTTATCCAACTTACCTTGTAAGGCCAAAGGAATAGCTTCAATCTGGATCTTCGTGGGCTTTGTCCATCCCAACTGGTCACAGGCTTCACACAACACATCTGTCACACCCTTAGAATTCAGAAAAACACAGTTTAACAAACAACAACACACACTCGCCTCCCACACAACTCAAGGGCGGTCAGGGCAGCCTGGCTGTTACACGTGCATCTCCTACATTTGACTCAAAAGGTATTTATTGCAGATGGTGACTGCAGCCATGAAATTAAAAGACGCTTACTCCTTGGAAGAAAAGTTGTGACTAATCTAGACAGCATATTAAAAAGCAGAGACATTACTTTGCCCACAAAGGTCCGTCTAGTCAAGGCTATGGTTTTTCCAGTAGTCATCTATGGATGTGAGAGTTGGACTATAAATAAAGAAAGGTGAGAGCCAAAGAATTGATGCTTTTGAACTGTGGTGCTGGAGAAGACTCTTGAGAGTCCCTTGGACTGCAAGGAGATCCAACCAGTCCATCCTAAAGGAAATCAGTCCTGAATACTCATTGGAAGAACTGATACTGAAACTGAAACTCCAATACTTTGGCCACCTGATGCAAAGAACTGACTCATTGGAAAAGACTGATGCTGGGGAAGATTGAAGGTGGGAGGAGAAGCGGAAGACAGAGGATGAGATGGTTGAATGGCATCACCGACTCAATGAACATGAGTTTGAGTAGACACCAGGAGTTGGTGATGGACAGGGAAGCCTGGCATGCTGCAGTCCATGGGGTCGCAAAAAGTCGGACAGGACCGAGCAACTGAACTGAACTGACTCAGTCTCCTTAACTTTGAGTACTGGGACAGTAGCTCAAGGCTGTCATCACTTTCCACTCACCAGGGACCAAGCCAAGTTCTTTAGATGGGTTACTTCATTTAATATTCACACTTCCATGAGATACTTATCATAATCCTCAATTTACAGAGGTGGAAGGTCAGGCACCGAGATAACTTGCATCTAGTCAATGACTGGGTCAGAATTCAAACCTGGCTCATCGGAATCCTAAACCCAAATCGGACAGGTCGGACTGGACAACATTTGCACAAACACAGCGCTGCCACAACAAGTGGAGCTGAAATGGGCAAATGAGGCTCCCGGGCCCGGCCTCCCTCCCACCACCCAAAATCTGAGTTGAGGGCGGGCCCTCTTCCCAACCTGAGCCTCTGGTACCCGGGGGGAAACCTGAGCTAGGCCCCGGCTGCTTCCGCACACCACAGGCCTAGATGGAAGGCAACAGGACTCTGCCCGCGCCTGGCGCCGGAAGAACAAAGGGAAGCTGGCATCATCCACTCTTACCAGGTCTTTAAACGTTTTCGTTTCTTCCTCCTCCACCGCCGTCTGGGGCGCCTCCATGCTTTCCGGAGAATCGTGCTCCACGGACGCCGCCATGTCGTCCGCGAACTCCGGAAGTAGGTCGGCGGACCGCAGGATTCTGGGAAACGTAGTTTTAGCTCTCTCCGGCGGCGGCGGCGTGTTGTGGGCGCCCCGCTGTGGGTTTGCCCGGGATTTGCACCAGCCGGCCAGGCAGGCGGGGCTCCGCTGACAAGTACTTTTTTTTTTTTTTTAAGGATGGATATAAACGTTAGGACTTGTGAAACTGAGCCAAAAGCAGAAGGACTTGATGCCCAGGGTCTGCAGTCAGCCCTCCTTTTGTTTTTCAATCGCTAGGTCGTGTCTGACTCTCCGCGACCACGTGGACTGCATCCTGCCTGGTTACTCTGTCTATGGGATTTTCCAGACAAGAATACTGGAGTGGGTTGCGATTCCCTTCCCCAGGGCCTCTTCTGGACCCAGGGGTGAACCCAGGTCTCCCGCGTTCCAGGCAGATGGGCTTCCCTGATAGCTCAATTGGTAAAGAATCCGACTGCAATCCAGGAGACCCCGATTGGATTCCTGGGTGGGGAAGATCTTCTGGAGAAGGGATAGGCTACCCACTCGATTATTCTTGGGCATCCCTTGTGGCTTAGCTGGTAAAGAATCCGCCGGCAACGCGAGAGACCTGGGCTCGATCCCTGGGTTAGGAAGATTCCCTGGAGAAGAATAAGGCTACCCACTCCAGTATTCTGGCCTGGAGAATTCCATGGACTGTATAGTCCATGGGATCACAAAGAATTGGACAGGCTTTCCTTGATTCTGTGCTAAATAAATCCTATATCTGGTGTTTACCCTTACAACACTCTTCCCCTTATAGTTCTTTTTACATATCAGAAAGAAGGCCGCAGAGCCACCGAAATGCCAGACTGAATTACTGGGTTACTGATGCCAGCCTATGACTATCATTGAAACAATGCAAGAGGAAGAAATCAATATCCTTTTCCCTTTGTTCCCCATCGCCAACTCCTGACCGGGAGCCCCCCTCTTATAGAAGCGCTAGACTCCTCATGAAGGAGGGCACAGTTTTTTAGACATGAACCTACTGTGTTCCCCTCTCCGCTTGCTGAGACTTAAAGCCACCTCTCTATTTCTTCCTAATTCTGTCTTTGTATTTCTTATTCGGTTTCACTGGGCAGAGAAGGCCTAGATTTTGGCCAGCAACACTCCTCCTGTTGTGAAAAAACAAAATTCACCTGAGTATGAGACAGGCTGTGACCTGGGACCCTTTCCTGCAGTGCTGACACCTTCACTTGTTGAAGAAGATACTTTCAGAAACATCAGTTTCCATGATCACAAGCAGCTTTTACCAGCACAGAATTCCTCTGCCATACAGATTTTTCTGTAAAAACAAAGAGAGAAGGATTTACTTTGCTTCTCTGAGGCTCATGCTCTGATTTCACATAGGAGAGTGGAATGGAATTAAAAGTTCTGGGAGAAGGTGGAAGACTGGATTAGAAAGTTTGAGACAGCAGAGCAAAGATGCCTGGAAAGGGGACCCAGATGGAAATGATTGAGAGGACTGTATATAATACAGGGTCTAAAGTTATCCAAGTTCTGTTAAAATATGTTACAGGAACCAAAAAACAAAAAACATCACACAAGATTTCTGGGGCTCTGTCGTTCAGTTGCTAAGTTGAGTCAGACTCTTTTCGACCTCATCAACAGCAACACACTAGGCTTCCCTGTCCTTCAATATCTTCCAGAGTTTGCTCAAGTTCATGTTCATTGACGGAGAAGACAATGGCATCCCACTCCAGTACTCTTGCCTGGAAAATCCCAGGGACGGAGGAGCCTGGTGGGCTGCAGTCCATGGGGTCACTAAGAATCGGACATGACTGAGCGACTTATTTCACTTTTCACTTTCATGCATTGGAGAAGGAAATGACAACCCACTCCAGTGTTCTTGCCTGGAGAATCCCAGGGATGGGAGAGCCTGGTGGGCTGCTGTGTATGGGGTTGCACAGAGTCGGACACGACTGAAGCGACTTGGCAGCAGCATGTTCATTGAGTCAGTGATGCTGTCTAACCATCTCATCATCTTCCGCCTCCTTCTACTCTTGCTTTCAATCTTTCCCAGCATCAAGGTCTTTTCTGGAGCTCCTCTAAAGGGAAAAGGATTCAAACCAACAAGCTGCTATTATCATAGCAAATTCTGCCCACTTTACCCAAGGGAAACACTCTTCAATGTGTTTTTTTTGTTTTTGGGTTTTTTTTTTAACTTCTTATTTTGTATTGGAATATAGCTGATTAACAATGTTGTGATAGTTTCAAGTGGACAGCTAAGGGATTCAGCCATACATATGCATATATGCTTCTGTGTTCTTGGATAATTCAGACATAGGCTCTTTTTCAAACTTCCTCTGGTGCCAGCACCCACCTTGATGACAGAGTTCATGTCAGATCAACAGGGTGAGCATAGGCGGGTCCAATCAAGAGGACTGTGGGCTTTTGACTCTTCCTACCAAGTCTGGAGTAGTTTGGATATTCACATTCTGATCATGGAAATAATAGAGGTCCGTTCTAGTAACTGAACCATGTCATATCCTGTACTTTCAGAACAATGAGAAACGTTAAAGAGGAAATCCAAATAAACACTCAAAATAAGGGGCAAAGAGCCCTGAAACAATACACTGGCTCCAGGAGGAGAGGTCAAAGTGACTGACCCCACCTCCCTTCCCCCAAGAGGTTTTTTTCTTTTCTTTCAATTTTTTTTGTTGAAGTACAGATGGCTTACAATCTTGGGTTAGTTTCAGGTATACAACAAAGTGAGTCAGTTTTATATGCATATATATACATATTCTTTTCTAGATTCTTTCCCATTGTAGGTTATTACAAAATATTGACTCTAGTTCCCTATGGCATACAGTAGATCCTTGTTGTTTATCCCGTTTTATATATAGCAGCGTGTATATGTTTTTTTTTTAACTGGAGGAAAACTGCTTCACAGTGTATGTTGGTTTCTGCCGTACAACAACTTGAATCAGTCATCATTACACACACACACACACACACACACACACACACACACACACACACATATATATCTCCCCCTCTCTCTTGAACCTCTATCTCCTTCCCACCTGCTTTGCACCCCTCTAGGTCATCACAGAGCACCAGGCTGAGATCCTTGTGTTACGCAGAAGCTTCCCTCTAGCTATCTGTTTTACACATGATAGTATATATATGTCAGTGCTACTTACTCAATTCATCCCACCCTCTCCTTCCCCTCTATCTGTTAATCTCACAGTTCTAATTTATCCCTCTCCCTCCAAAAGGTTTTCCAGGCCTTCATGCACCCCCTCCTCTAGACACACAAAAATATATATTAAAAACTATAGTTTATGGCTGCGTTAACATAAACATGTTAATATTATATATTAAAATATTTTCTTTGATTTAAAAGTTATCTTTTTCATCTGACATTTTAAAAGAAATGAAACCCTTATGTGGGCCTCTAAAAGCATAGTGGGCTCCCAGGCACCGTGGCTTCTGCACCCGGTGGATAAGGGAAGGGCGTGAGGACCGCAGGGAAGCCTTCAACAGGCCAGTGACCTGGACTGCTGAGGGGTGAGAGCTTGTGAGGAGAGAGGTGGCTCCTGGACCAAAGTAACACAAGCTTTTGATTCAGGGAAGAATCTGTTCTTAATCAGTTTCTGCTCAAGCTCTTCCCAGGAGCTACATACCCTGTAGTTTATTTTGGAGAAAGCTCCCTCTAACACAGTGCTCTATACTCATTAGAAAGCTAGCAATGCAAATTTAATCTATCAAAAAGTTATCTTTAACTTATTAATTCATTTTTTTTTAATTTTTTGGCTGCCGCAGGCATCTTGAAGGATTTTAGTTCCCAGGCCGGGGATCAAACCCATGCCCCATGGAGTGGAAGTGTAGAGTTCTAACCACTGGGCCGTCAGGGAAGTCCCCATAACTTATGAATTCTATAATTCTGCTATGGATATGTATGTCCAAAGGAAGAAAAGATACTAATGATGTAATAATGAGGACAGAGAGAGATTTCAGTCTCCATGGAATCAGTAAACAGATGGCATATAAAATACTTTGTTATCTAACCAATTCGTGTCTAGAGAAAAAAAAAGGTAACTAGTCCTGGTTATTTATTTCTTTCCTTCTTCTTTTTGCCTATAGTTTGAAAAGTTTTTTAAAACATAGAAAATCTGTATGTTTCTTTCTTTATGTTTAACAAACATTCTCAAACCCTATGGCAGACCATGGACCACACACTAGGAACTGGAAATAAGCATGAAATTTATACTCCAGTGAGGGGGGACAGCCTATGTTTTAAACAACAAAAGAAAGTAAATAAATAAATCTTCACAATCAAGCAGGAAAAACAGAAACAAAAGAAGGAATCAAAAGTGAGATGCATGGTTAAAAGGAGAAAAGCAAGATGCTACAGCAATATATGATGGGATGAACTGGACTTCCTCTGCAAAGTAGGGACATTTTCCCCCTAGAAGGGACTTTTAAACTGAAATTTGGAAGATGAGCACCATTGACTGGCTGTGTAGGGTGCAGAGAGTAGTTTACAGGCAGAAAGAATCTTCCAGGCTAAGCTTTGCAGTAGAGAAAAATCAAATGAAGCTTATAGAGATTATAATATGATGATTTATGATGATGCTGGAGGTCTACATGGGGACCTGAATATTTAGGGCCTTATTTCCATGGTGGCTCAGATGGTAAAGAATCTGCCTGGAGTGCAGGAGACCTGGGTTCGATCCCTGTGTTGGGAAGATCCCCTGGAGAAGAGCATGGCTACCCACTCCAGTATTCTTGTTACTGAGTCCAAGCTCTATCTGCTCACCACACAACGGGCCAATGAATCCGAGAGACCAGAGTTTGAGACAACGAAGAGACTTTAATCAGGGAACCAGCTGACTGAGAAGATGGCAGGCTAGTGCCTCAAAATTACCAAAATTACCATCTTGTTGGGGTCTGGATGCCAGGTTCTTTTATAGATCAGAGATGGGGCGAGATGAGGAAGCAAAATAAAAGGCCAT